GGGGGGGGGGGGGGGGCAGAAATTAATTCCATATCCCAGTTGCAAGCACCCATGTCTCTTTCCCTCCCCTCCACCCCGTCACATCCAGCTCCACAGAAATTCCATGCTGGACAAGAAAAGTATTTTGATTGCAGTAAAGTAGCATTTTATTTGTTTGTTTGTTTATTTAACCAGCTCTACACTTGATATGTATCCTTGTACTTTTATCCCCCCCGAAACCAGCTGATTACTTCAGTCAGTGACAAGGATGAGAGCATTCCTGGAAGCCCAAGACCTACTCTTAGTCAAAACTGCAGGTGGGAGTCACCATCACTTCCCTTTATCTCTGTGTGCGCTCATTTACAAAAGGACATTTTAAAAGTTCCTTTGCCCTTCACTGGGACCACATGACCATTTACTCAATCCCTACTAGTGAAGTCATGAAGGCCACCAGCACCCATCCCAAACATAATGTGAACATACGCTTTATACAGCCTGTGTCTCTGAAGTAGCTGCCCACACGTGAATTGTTCATCTAGAAAACCTCTCTTATTACACTAACAGCTGTGAGTAGTACATGGAATTGGGATGGAGAGATTTTTATTGTTGACTCCAAATGTTAGCTTTCCTGAGAGTAGCAATGCCTCCAGTACTGCACTGTGGATGGATGTACATTGAACTAGACAGTGAATGAATGATGGTTATTGAGAAGAGGGAAGGGAATTGGCATATAATTTAAATTAGCTTCCAAGAACTCTATTGCCAGTAAACAGACCAAATACTGAACATGTCACTTTGAGGTTATCATTTGATGATGTTTATTGCATTGCATGGTTTCCCTTATCAGTAAGTGCGCTGTCACAGGAATAGCTTAAAAATAGCTCCCTAATTTTAAATGGTGGAAGTATACATTCTCTCAGCAAACCTATGCACATAGGAATATTCCCTCCCTATGAAGAAGTCAGGTAGCTCCTGGTAAATTCTGTCAGAAATGCATACAAACAGAATTTGGCCAACATTTATACTTTGCTGAGCTTTGAACCAGTTTATAATATTTATCATAGCCATCATCTTACTTCTTTTGGACATGCATGTATTATTTAAGTATTTAAATTGCAATAATGCCCATGAGGTCTTTGCTGAATTAAGAGGGCGCTTAATTTTGGGAGCAAAAATTAATGGCCTTGCTGTTACTTCTTGATTTGTCCTTTTCTTTTGCCTCTATTTTTAAAAAAAAAAGCTTTAGAAAACTTCTCAAATTCCTGTCCTTTTCAAAAGGTTAATGCAACAAAGCAAAAATTCACCACCACAATCCCTGTAGAAAAATTAATCAAAGTTGTTGACAAACAACAAACTATTCTTCTGTAGTGATTTCATGAATTAAAATTGTTACCTATATCAAGACTACCAGTTGTTGATAATCAGGATAATGTACATTTATCCATAATCTTACCCTAGTTTTATTACTCTACTTACTCAATTCCAAGATGAGAGTTTTTAAACCCATTCAAAAAAGGGGAAAACAAAGACTTATGTTATGCTAAATTGTAACTGTGGTTGAGAGAAGACTGACTGACCAGTGAGACCATTCTAGTCCCAACTTGAACACTTTATTAGGATACGCAATTGCGAAGACTTATTTGGATCAATAAGGACAATGCTTATGTAAGCTTTAGTTTCAGGGAAGAAACAGATCCCCTGGTCAGGCTTCTCTGTTCCCTTGGGTACCCGAGTTGGTTTACTGAACTCTGGAGAAGTCCAAATTTATTAGAAGTCCCAAAAGCATAAGTCCAAACTTCCCTCCAGTTTATGCCCCATATTTATAGATGGCTAGTTGTAATGGTCTAATCAATGATCTCCAATTGGTTTTATTTACACTTTTTTGTCTCGCGGAAAATTTTGAAACTGGATTAAACCAAATTTCTTCTGAGCCTGAAAAATGTCAATCAGTGGGGATTTATATCCTTGAGAAAGCAAAAGGAGACTTATGTCCTTTCCATCCCCACTGTGGAATGCTGTTTCACACTGGTTTGTTACTTAGTCTCTACCTTAGTCTATGGTCTGCTAAGGCTGCTTTGTGTTTGTTTGTTTGAATAGCCTACCTAAGCATTCTAAAGAAGTACATCTATTATAGCAAAATAACATTCAATACATTTAGTTATATCAATCACTACTTCTCATTATTTCAAGATGAAGCTACAATATACAGTATTTAGATTATTGGCTGTACAGTTCTTACTTAGTGTTTCCTTTTAGGCCTTGTGGTGTTTGATCGTGTCTAATTAAACACATGAATGGCTTCCTTTGCTGACCAAGCTAGTTTTTACTTCTGTGAAGGTTCACACTACAGTCACACAGACGCAGGCTTTTGAGGCCTTCTACTTAGCCACACTTCTGACTTCCGTAGCTTTGGCTTGGGTCTCTGGTCAAGTCTTTCAAAAATGTACCCATGGCTTATGCTGCACAGGCCTATCTACACTTGTCTGAGAATCAAATATCAAATAAAAATGAAGTATCTGCAGTTAGAAGTGGCAGCAGGAATCCACTTGGCAAGGCATGGGACGTTAAAAGACTAAACACAACAGAGGTGTAAGGTGGTGTGGGATCCACTGTGGTGAAGGACCCTGTAGGAGGTACCCAGGACCCTGGGTGCAGGAACTGGAACAGAGGCACCCAGAAGTGTGGCATGCAGCAGCAAGGAGGGCAAGTGGCTGGGAGATTCAGGCAGCAAAGGAAGCAAGGTATCGGGATAGGCTGCCTACCCCTACTACTGGTGTTTTCCCCACCACTGTGATGGAGGGGACAAATTTAAGGCAACCCACCCAATAATAAAATTCTATACATGAAAAATTATAATAAGTTTTCCATTCATAGAATCTTATTATGGGGGGAGGTCCTTGGATTCAGGTAAGTACTAAAATAAGGGATTTTCTTTGTAAAATATGAAGAAAAGGAATCGAGAGTCCTGGAAATGAAATTTCTCTGTTTATTTACAGGAAAATTACATTTATTGGATTGGTCATGTTTCATATGAAAAATCATTCTACCTCTAAGGCAGCATGTCAATATACTTGACAAATAACCTCCAGATGCCCTTGCATTCAGTCCTTGCTTTAACGTTAGTAACATGCATGATTAATGCATCTTTGGTTTTGTTTTGAGAATAAAATGACCACATGAATTATTTATTAGGGCCCAAATTCTGACCCATCCTTTATGCCCACAAAATGGGAGCGAATGCTAAAGCAAGCTTTAGGAAACTAAACAGAAATAATAAAACACACACTGGAAACATGTAGGCGTTAATAGTCTAGTCTGTGGCACAAGTGGAAAATCACACTACTGGCACAAGTTAATAGTATATTGTGAATTTTTAATCAGTTTCTTTAATGTTTTATTACTATGGCTAACCAAAAAACCTCTGTTTCTGCTAACTTCCACCAACTCTCACCTTTGCTCTTGCTAATGGAATGTATAAATGGACTCTTTAGTTAGCAACAACATGACTGCTTGACTAGAAAGAGTGTTTTGGAGGTGGTAAGACCAATATTTGTTTTCAGGCTCCACTGTGTGTCAGTTTTTCTAACCTCAAACATATGACTTTCTACATCTAGAGCACAATGTCACATCATTACTAAAAGAAGAAACATCTTACAGAGATTCTAATGTTCTTCCTTTATGTTCATTATACATTAAAATGTTTATCACTTATTTCCCTTTAGGAAAAAAGTCTTGTAATATTTTAAGTAGATTTAATTTTCTATGTTCCTTCAATACTAATTAAGCATTAATACACTAAATCCTGTTAGCATATAAATGTAATTCAGAACCTAAAAACAATGGAGTTCTATCTAAAACTCAGTATGTGACTATTCTAGTTTTAAAACATCAGGATTTCCTAGAAGTGAACTCTAGAAGACTGCAGGACAACCTCCCACAGGAAATGGTGGAGTCTTAAATTGCTCAAAATTATTAAATCAGAATTAGAAGTGCTAGTTAATAATGGAGCAGGATTGAGAGCCGTCCTGCACTGGTAATAGGGTTGTACTAGATGACCCAACAAGTTTTTATTTCTGCCTCTCACCTCAAACATCTGTCAAATAGTACTATTCGAAGGCCAGGATATAAAGATACATCTCTCTTTGTTATTTTCTTTTTCCAAATGATTTTGTTCCTAAGAATCAGATGGCAAGCCCTTAATTTTAAATCATGAGAGTCTTTGCTTTTCTTTCTATGCCCAAGTCTCTACATTTTCATCATTTTAATTTATATACATTGTTTCAAAACCTTCTAAAAGGATTCATCAACCTATCAGCACCTGCACACTCTTCAAGTCACTACCTAGGTCAAGGAGATTTTTTTTTCCAAATGTGATGAGAGCCATTAAAATTAAGAGACCCCATCAAAAGAAAGGAGAGCCATGGAAGTGCATACTAAAACATGCAAGAAAAGAACATATCTCCTTACATGCTCTCACAGAACTTCGTAAGAGTACTGGGCTTTTCCTGGTTGCGCCGTTGTCGAAACCAACGCTGAATACTACGTACATCCCAGTCCAGTTGCTTGGAGAGGCCTTCCAGTCTCTTCTCATCTGGATGCTACAGAACAGAAGGTTATTATAAACAAAATTAATCTACAGTTACATCTTCACAACAGATATAATACCGCCATTTGAAACTTAGAAACATCCCAAGTCTAACCTTAAAAGAAACTAACCTATTGTACACAGCTCCTGGGACTAAGAGATATGACAGCTGTCTACCATAGACAACTAGCAATGAGTGTGTATGAAGATATTTTTTCTTTTTTTGGCAAATTAACCATATATTGAAATACATTACTGCAAAAATAAGTACAGGTTCAGAAGGTTGTAATTGTAACTTCTCATACAACTTTGTCAAGCATTCTCTGCTTAAGTGATATGCACTCCTTCAGTAAAAGGGCCTGCAAAACCTAACAGCAGCTTTGCCTCTTCTATCTATGCACATGCCATTACTGTAAGTGTTAATAGGGCAGAGATAATTTGAATGTAAGGGCTACAACTCATTTTCCTAAAGAATAATATTAAAAACAGGTTATTAAAAAAATGTGATGGCTTTAAAAAGGAAGTCACCATGGTAACAGAGAGAAACATTAAGTAAAATTAACTATATGTACTTTTATTCAAGAGCAGCAAACATGGCTTCATAATTACACTGGAGTGGATGTATTCTGCATATTACAGCTACTGTAACCAATTTGACATGGTGGATGAATGCAAGAGCTGCTATAGTTTAGATGGTTTTAAAGTTCCCTTAACATTCCACAAATGAATAAATATGAAATAAAATTCCCTCCAGACTCAAATTTGGTATCTGGGCCCTACAGGGATGGGGACAAAGGAGGAGAAAAAAAAAGAGAGAGGAATAAAAATTAAAATCATTATCTATCTTGATAAATATTTCAATTTTAATTTCTTCTTAGCTAGATTCAACCTTGAACTTATTTTAATCCATTCCACAAGTTTTTTTTTTGTTTTGTTTTTTTTTACAGTGGAGTTAAAAAAAAAAAAAAAAAAAAAAA